GAATGCCTGACTCCATTCTAAACTTACCAGCTCTGTCAGTGATAAGTGTAGCTGGGAAAAGCTTCACAGGCTTCTGATCAGAACATTTGTCCAGGATCTTGGGAGGGTTTTGGCAATTTGTGCTATCACAGTTACACTGCTATCGCTTTCAGAGCTGGATGTTGTGAAGAAAGTACTTTGGATTATGTTATGTAGATGTCTATTCAGAAAAACTGAATCTGAACTTGCATTCTTTGTGCCTATTTAACTTTTTATTCTTCTTGCCCAAGTATTTTTCTGGATTTGTAAAGAAGCCTGCTTCCTTGCGTGTTTGCTTTCCAAGAAGCAGCTAGCAATGTGTCTTACTGTTTGGAACACTTGCCAGAACTGCCATTTCAGATGTGGGATTCCCAGGATTTTCAGGAGAATCTCCATTCCAAGAGTTCTGCTCCCTTAATCAGGGTAAGCGATCATAAAATAGGAAGAGAAAAATAGTTTTGTAACCAGTCAAAACAGCTGTGTAACTGGGCAGCTAAGCAAGAAAATCTTCACAGACAGCTGCTGTTTCTGAGCTGTAGTTCTGGCGGGTTTTGCTTCCTTTTCCTTTTTTTCTGTTTTTCTTTGTGACCTCTGAAGATAAGTCAGAAGCTTTCCGCAAGATGCCCTTTTTGAGGGTTGCTAGGAAGTAGTTTGTGAATGTTTACCTATTAGAAGCTACATTTCTGTTCCAGTGGCACCATAAAGCATAAAAGATCTGTTGCTAGACTGTGATTTAGGTTAAGATGTGCTGACATCTGAAGAGATGGAGGAGAGAAGCAGTGGCCAAAGTATTAGATAGACTAAACCTTCTTGGTTTGAAGGATATAGCTCTGTAATGTTCTTTGAAAAACAGTCATTTTTTGGAGAAGGGAAAATTTGAAAAGAACTTCACATTCATCATGTTCATCCAAGTTAGCATACATCAGTGATGCTATAGAAAATCCAGTTAGCTCAATTATGCCACAATTATTCTTGTTTCACATCAAGGAGTACTTATTTCAGGAGCAGCTGAGGCTGTTTCTAGCCTGTCACCTTTAAGGCAGGTTGAGTGATAAATCCCTGACTGGCTCCTTTAGATTATACTCAGTCACTTCCCTTATACTGGCCTCAAAGAGGAAAATGAAGCAAGATTCCCCATTCAGGAAGGTCTGAGGTCAAAACACCTGAATTTTCAGCCTTTTGGTATTACAGCAGAATAATGCAGCATGGCTAATGTCCATTCCTGAATTGAGGTTGCCTTCACTAGCTGCAGGATTGTCCCATTTCCCAGTGCTATAAAGATATGTACAAGTCACAGACAAAATGGCATAAACTGATCTCTCATTAAATCCCTAAGCCAGGGAACCAGAGGAGATACAGCACCAACTAGTATCAGCCTCTGTTGTCTGTTAACTTCTTTAAATTATGTCTAAAGCTACTGAGAATGTCTTAAGTAAAAGCTTCTGAAAGTGATTCTTGTTTCTTAAGAGTAGAGATATTTTTCCAATTCTGCTAAGAAAATAAACTCTCATAATTCATAATTCTGAGTCAAAGAGAAAGCAAAAATCAGAGGCAGTAAGACAACTAGAATTAGTATTTTGCCTGCAGATTGTTGTTATTGAGAAAAGAAAGTAGATGAGGAATACGTGCAAAAAGGAGAAGAAAATGTTATGGGGGAAAGATTGAGAATAAACATTAACAGATGGAGCTGTCTGAAAGTAGAACAGGGACCTATTATATTACGCTGAGCAAAATACAAGAGGAGCTAATAAATTGTTTAAGCTGTCTGATATTCTAGTCAGAGCTCTAGCAATATTTAGTTAGTACAGCACCAACAATCAAAGAACATGCACTAGAGATAAGAAATTAACTTTTTTTTAAAATCAGGAATTTGTGCAAAGGAGCCTGATTTATGCTAAGACTGCTTTCCATGTAAGGGGGTGTAAATTACATTTGCAGTGACTTTGAGACTGTACATCACTGTAAATAGGGGTCCCAAGTGTCTTTCTGCCTATCTGCAATGAATGTGAAGGGATTTCAGATTGGAGGGATTTCAGATTGAAGCTGCATTCAGAGATTCTGGTTTCTCTCTTTGGGAGATTTCTTCTGGTCCTCTCCTTCCCTGTGCTCTCTGCAGGGAAGATTTCCCTAGTCACCCAATAACTCTGGCACCAGTTCTTGCCTTACTTCCACACTGCATTCAGCTAAAGGGAAACAGTTCACCTCCGTTGAAATCAGCAAACAGCAATTAATTTGCTGGTACCACTGTCTTCTGTTTTGTCTTTGTGCAGCACTTGGGTCATCTTTAATTTGGTGTCAGATCTCCAAGAGCCAACAGGAAGCCAAGCTGTTTGGTATTCACACACAAACCCTACTAAAGACAAATTATTGAGGAGGCAGGAGGGCAGCTGCTCAGTGGGACCCAGTAAATGAAGGATCCAGTTCTAATAATGGGTAAAGTTGGAACCAATACATTCTTCTCTGTGTCTTTTTGTTCCCACCTATAAAATAAGGATTATTATAAACCTTTGCTTTGCCTCTACTCTGAGCAATTCAGAACATACTCTTTATGGAGGTGGTGAGTATTTGAGTATAAACAGGGAACCAAACCACAAGAAAAAAGAAATGCCAAGGGTTGTGATCTGAAAATTACTCTGTATCTTGTTCACTCCAAAATATTTAATCCATAGCCAGAAAACAGGAGATAAGAGTTTTAGGTGTAGAATTCTCCTAGACTTTTTTTGTCAGACTGGTTCTTTGTAAGGACTTTCTAAGGAGTCTTTTGTATTATTCATCCCTAGGGAGATTTACATGATTGTATTTTGGAAACTTAGAAGGTTTTGTACAAGCAGATCAAGTTAAAGGTCTTGGAGTAGGCCTCATTTTTCCAATCCCAAATCAATTATAGTATTAGGTTTCAATCCAAATATGATTACACAGCTCTCTA